TTGATTCTATGATTCTATGATTCAATATACACACCCACCGAACACTCTAGTCTCATCTTCTGCTTGTTGTGTCATATTTTCCTCCATCCTGACTCCACGTCAGGCAAGTTCTGAATATAAAGTAGAAACAAGAGTTAATCTTTGTGCTAATTCCCTGTAGGTTTATTGTACCAAAATGTAGTAAGAAAATTAAATCCTCCCTCTCATTTTGAACACTTCTCTGGTCAAGCAGGGAATGCAGTGAGAGCTACTAGAAAAGATCATGGTGACTAGAAGACCCACATCCTTAGGTTACAAATAAATTACTATGGCTTAGAAAGATATTGACCAACACCTTTAGAAAGATATTGAGCAGCACCTTAATTACATTTACAGTCTGTGTGGGCATTTTTATCCTATGGCAAATGTGAAAGAATTTGACCCAGAAAAAATTATCTGACTAACTTTTGAAGTTATATTGAACTAGCTTGTTCTTCCAGGGATCTCAAATTGGACTGACAGCTTTTACAGATCATCTGACAAATAATGACTTGCTATACAACTGTAATTGGACTTGATCTGTGAACCCAGAATATTTATATAAGTGATGCTGGATTCTGACAGCATTTGATATCTATATCCATCTCTCTGTTTAAGGTCCTTTCCCAATACTCATCACTAAGGTGTTTCAGTTGGTGATATATGTTCATCTCCACAACATTTCTAGGAAGTACAGCAGCAACTTTTCCCATTTTGTACAGGTAGCATCATTGACACATAGTGAAACTAAGTGCCCATTTAGACTGACAGATAAAAGGATTTTTTTTTCATATTCCAAGTCAATTATTCCCCCTCTTAGTGTGTGGAGAGAAAATTGTGTGGTTATAGCTTTGTTCAGTAGCTGCTGAAACCAAAAAGCCTCCATGTAGCAACTGCAGCAGCAGATTTACCTCTGTTTGTGTCCTGCTGCATTGGTAGGTAACACTGAATTTAGCCTCAGTGAGTTTTCAACACCATAAATGAGAATTGATGTCTGAGTCCATATGGGTAGTTTTAGATACAGATTAGTGAATTATTTCAAAATGTGTATTGTTGTAGAGGGGTGTTTACTGTGAAATAACCCATCTTACATTAAAATTATACACAGTATTATTTTTTTAAAATAATATATATTCTCGAAGCAAACTTATTACATTGTAGGGGGTTTTTTTCTCTTAAAAATTAATCAAAGTATCTCTTTATTTTGCTTTTATTTTTTATAATTGCAACTTTTCTAATAGAAAGTGTTTTATACAGGTAATTTGTACTCGGTCTGAAGAGTATAACAGCCAAGAGGCTTTATGCAATGCCACAGGTGAGGGGCCTATAAGGCGAAATCCTGGGAACAATGATAAATCCAGGACCCCGAGGCTCCCATCCTCAGCTGATGTTGAATTTTGCCTGTCACTGACTCAGTATGAATCTGGATCCATGGATAAAACGGCCAATTACAGTTTCCGAAACACTTTGGAAGGTAACATGCTTTATTCTATTACGACATTTCCATCTGTAAATTGATTCTCTCTGGCGTTAGAGTCTTTAAACTCTGGGCAGTTTGAGCTGATTCCATGAAGAATAACTCAAAAAGAAAGAAAACGTTATGCCTGGAATAGCAACAGATAGAAAGAACCACATTAAAGGTATTTTGATTAGAAACTAGGAACTCTATTTTCTAGATCAGACCTTAAATCCATCTGTTAGGGGATAATGTCTCCTTCTACAGTCAGCACCAGGCACAGCAAAGAAATACAGCACTGCAGAAAAGGAGATAATCTAATAATCTGCTTGTGCATGATCATAACCACATCCATCTGGGCTACAGGTCTGCCCTGTATTCACTGTCTTTCAGGGACCAGGCAGGACAACAAGGGTGAAAGAAGATGTCGCTGGTTGGCATGTTATGTATAAATTTTTCCACTATGAACAGCATAGCAGAGTTATGCCCAAACTCTACGGAACAGGAATTAAGTTATCCCCCCAAAATGACCCTTAGTATCATTTCCAAAATAATTTAGGTATTTATCTTAATTATCTATCCAAACTGTTTTGAATTTTTCCCAATTTACTAGCAAACTGGAGTTCTTTGCTAAAAGGAAGGCATAATTATCTGTCGATTAAACTCTTTTGAGTCTTGAAATATTGCTAATAAAAAAAGAATAACACATTGCACATTTATCAATTAATATTTCCACAGTATCATATATCTGTTGAATCAAATATAATCCACTTTTGATGTCCTAGAGTAGAAGAGAGGATAAGAAAGGGGCCATGAAGATGATCAGAGGAATGGAGCAGCTGTCCTATGAAGACAAGCTGAAAGAGTTGGGGTTGTTCAGCCTGGAGAAGAGAAGGCTTCAGGAAGATCCCATTGAAGCCTTTCAGTACCTTAAGGGGACTTTCAAAAAGGACAGAGACTTTATAGGTAGATAGCGATAGCGTAAGGGGCCATGGTTTTAAACTGAAAGAGGGCAGGTTTAGATTAGATGTTAGGAAGAAATTCTTTACTCACAGGACAGTGAAGTACTGGAACAAGTTGCCCAGAGATGTTGTGGATGCCCATTCCTGGAACTGTTCAAGATCAGGCTGGATGGGGCCCTGAGCAACCTGACCTCGTGAGTGGCATCCCTGCCTACAGCAGGGGTCTTGGAACTAGGTGATCTTTAAGATCAATTCCAATCCTAAGCATTCTATGATTCTATGAATCTAAGAAAGCAAAGGTGTTAATATGTTCAGTTTTAATGCAGTGTGGAATGCCATAAAGTTTTCTTGAGAAAAGTGAACCTGTTTCTGCTCTAAAAATGAACAGAAATGAGGAATTTGTCTGCTATATGAAGTGTGAGAAAGAAAGAGGTAACATAATTGGGTAGAGGTTTGCCTACATATTACTCCATCAAGTATATGAATAGATGAAAGGATGGAATAGAAAGAGTAAAGAAAAGGGAATTGAAGTAAATAAATCACGAAATAATGAGGGTCTACTATCATGCTGCTGGTATTGCAAACAAAAGCAAAGGCACAGTCAAAAGAAGTTATGCAGAATCACATAGAGGTTAGCTAAGAAGCAGAGTCAAACTGGGCTGCTTGCTCACAAAGACTAAATTTCAGTATCACGACCACTCATTAAATAATTCAGTGAGTACTTGCAGAAAAAGGGCAAAGCCTACCTTCTGTCAATGATGAGTCTAAACTGGCAGGGGTATACAGGGTCATAGATCAAGTACACCCCTTTGATGGAAATGGCTACACTTTCTTATTGAAAACAAAAGTAGAAAAAAAAGGCAACAATATAGAAGTGCAGCAAATGATCAGGAAAGCACCTACAGCTTTCAAAGACACTAGAAGAAGTTAACTCTAGACTCAGAGTCAGTGTTTTGCCTCATAAATCTATCTATCTATATATTGATTGATCTATTGATTGATAGATCTCTACTGCTGCTTTTTTTCATGTTAATTTTATGGCTAGCAAGTACAGTCACTGATGGTCTTTATTAATATCATAGTGTACTCTGTCAATCACACTTGTAAAGGGTAGTGCATTGATCTTAATAACAGCAATGCCACTGCATCTGAAAAGAGCTCTTCTAGACCAAATTTTACTCCAAGGGTGTACTTTTGTTTTGTGTAACAATTCAGAAGGTGAAAAGAGTTTATCTTTCTCCTAAGTGAGGTTATGAAGATCCAGCTTGCCACTGTGGTCACTAGGAGTCTTCCAAATGTCACACGTGGCATTCATTGTCAAGAACAATAGGTTCTAGTGGTTTTCAGATGATATGAGAGTTTTTCTAACAGACTGGGGGAAAAGCTAGATGTTCATGAGATGCATGCAAGTTAAGTATGATTTAGGAGTCATACTGTTTGGGTAGCTACAGTATCAGCATATATTATCTTGGTCATAGTGCTGTATGGCATTTAGGTCAATGGAGGAATAGAGCATGCCTGTTTCTGCAGTCCATCCAGATGGACCTTCCCAGGCATGCACCACAGCCCTTTTGGAGCATCTGTAAGTTCCCTCCAGTGTAACTCTAAAAGGGAAGAAAGATCGAGCAGCTCTTTTTCTCCCGGCAGTGGGTGGACCTTTGCAAGTCCTAGGATCCATGTGGAGGGAACCTGGGAAGCTGTAACACAGTGAAGGAAGGCTTAGTAGGGTGAGACTGAGGCAACAAATGCCCCCTTCTTAAATGCTCTATAGACATCAAGCAAACAAACAGGCAAAAACACAACCCAAAATAACCTAACATTAGATCCATTCTATTCTAAGGGAATATTCTGTTAAGAATTCTATTCTGTTAAGAAAGTGGTCACGTTTGTTCATAGTCCAACTCTCGCTGCAATTACTGCAGCATGTAATGTTTAACTTTTATAGACTAGTTAAAGGAGATCTGCAGTGTTTAAGAGCTGATATGGGAGAGTAAGGGTCAACAGAGTGAAGTTGTCTTTCTTTCCATAAGACTATTTCGAAAGAGTCAGAAATCATTGAAGCAAAACTGTGTCCACAGTGTTGCATGATAAGGGGCATTTTTGATGAGTGCACCTGATTGCAAGTCTGATGTGGCTCAGTAGGCATTTATCTGTGTTACTATGGAGATGGAGGTTATCCCATCAGTGTTATTTTGAGACAGCTGTGCATTTTTTTAAAATTCTTAATTAGAGTATTTAATTTTTCAACCTGAATTATTTCAACATTCAACTTTATAGCACAGGACCACAAACATTTCTGTCAAACAACTTATTCAGCCAACAAGATACTGAACTGCAATTTGAAGTCAAGAATACATGGCTAATGTTGAACAAGATGGTGGAACTTTTTTAAACAAATTTTACTGCCAAAAATCCCTCATATTGCATTAGCTCCTTTCTTAAAAATGGCTTGCTTTATTTTTATTTTTTTTTTGTGTACAAGCTTAAATCGATCACTTGCATTTATTTTGCCAGTGCATGTGTACTTCTGCATGACAGCATTCTTACAAACCTGCTAACACTCTGTGGTTCCTAACATTTAGTTATTTTTCTAAGCAAAAAGCTTTTCAACCCTTCTTTACTTATTTGCACAATTTTGTGCCAATACACCTAAGGTCAAATCCTAATCTCTTTTCAATCCAAAGGAAATCTAAAATAAGTCCTTTGACTTTATTGGAGTTACTCTAGGTTTATGAAATGTGATCAGAACCAAGCCAGTGACTGTAATTGACCAGTTCCTGATTTACACCAATGTGAGATTTACTTCTCAGTTTCAGTTCTGTAAAGAAAAACACCTATGATCTCATAGAAGAACAGATCGCACAGAAGATCTCCTTCTGGGCAAAATTTCACCCTCTCCTTCCGTGTGTGCACGGGAACAAAGACAACACCTTTTACCCTTCAAAAGGGCAAGTATCAGTATCATTATGAGCAGATGGCAACAACGCAGGCTGAAGCTCTGACTAACAGAAAATGATGATGTAGAGACAAAAATTATGTCACTGAAGAGTAACCGCAACAGCCATAAACAGCAAAGGTCAATATTGTTCAATAAAACAACATCCCCATGGGACCAATCACATGGGTTGTCCTCTCACTCTGGGACAGGCCAGATTCTGCTTTGAATGAAAAGCAATTGGTTAAAAACAGTTTACTGTTTGGCCCTGGCAGCAAATATTTTAAATAGGATTCATTGATTCATGGCCCTAACTGGGGAACACTATTGACTTCATGGATACAAGAGAACATAAAATCAGTATAGTTCAAAAGCATCAGGTGAGGTCAGAAATGCATCCGCTGACTGCAAATTAAATATTGGGCTTCTTCGTTCAGTTCAGTTTTGGTGTGACACCTTGAATGCTACCTCTTAAGAATAAGAGATGGTTGAAAAACAGATTTTTTTTCTTTATGAGCAAATTCCACAGTTGAAATTAGTTTATTCATGGCAACTTCAAATGAGAATCAGTACCATCTAAGTTTTGCACAAAGTGACAAAAGAACTTAAAAAAAATCTAGAAGTCTGTATCACTTTCATTACTCATGAATTAACTTATGACAAAGAGTATCAAGCCAAGCCATGTTACAGAATTCCATTGTCTGTTACAATTATGTATTGTTACTGATATTCTGTCATGAAATAATGGAATAAAACATCAAACATTTTAAAATGTAATTTCATTTTAATAGGACATTTTCCTTTTTTTTCTTCCGAAATGAGAGATTTTCATCTAGAAATATTTTCTCAGTATTTTCACAGCAATCGATATAGGCAATGAAAAATGATTTTGCAAAATGAAGTTTGCCAACAGAAAACTTCTAATTGAAAAAGTTTCAGCCTACAGACAACATTCCTCACTGAACTCAAACCTCAATCCCTAGGTAAATTTATGTTGCACACTGAGAAAGTGCTGTCAAGTTGCAGAGAATCATTACTAGAGAACTAGAAAGACTATTCAGGCCATACCACAATTACATTCAACAAGAGCCGTTTTAAGAAAAAAAAGTAGGTGGTGACAC